GTATTCAGCTCTGTCGTTCAAGACTCTGAGACTGTCCGTTTTTTCACCATGCAGCCGGCGATGGTCTACCAGAATACTTTGTTTGCCTGTGTGAAAATTCGACTCCAACACCTCACCGAACTTCTCCTATGAATTAGCGTTGACTTTTGGCATTGCTATGGCTGCCGCCTTGCGTGCCTCGACATATCGCACGCGTGTAGACTGCTCCTTGTTTCCAAGCCATTTCTTGAAAGCTGCTTTCTTTTCTCTCAAAGATGATTTTTTAAAATAATGTTGAGTTGATTTTTAGTAGAAATCTATATTTTATATTCTAATAATAAATTTCAATAAACAGGTCATCGGCGATCATTTGCGGAATCGATGAATTTTCCTTTTGACCAGTTGTAGGTGGACGAGTTTTCCAGTCAGTGAATTAGTGCCTTTGAACTTCCCGGACACCATAGTAAGTACAATGCCTCAAGCAAATAGAGATTCATTTGTGTCAAGACATGTAAGCCAGTAAATGCATATGTTTTATCATGTGTCTTCGTGCAGTAGAGTGAACACCGCTTAGCTAACCGAATTTTTCTCTCTCGGTTCTTCTTGCTCTTTGCTTGAACCCTTGCCAATAAAATCTTCCTCTTTCTTCAGTTTACTTCCATGGGGACAATGCTGCTTGCAGATCATTGTATAATGTGGTTCTTTAGTATGCATCACTTTTACTGATGCAATTACGTATTCCCGTGATTAGAGTTTCTAGTTTCTTAAAAGTCTTCCAGCTTTTTTTAAAACGGTTCTCTTTAAATGCTGAAGTTGCATGGTAAAAAAACCAGGCTTCCACTTGTTTTTAATTGCATCCATCTTGCAGGGGATATTGCCCAATTTTGCAGAAACCAAATTCTCGAAGCAAGAACGATATTAAAACAAAACAGGTCAGTAAGGAGTAGCATACGATATAGACTGAATCGGTGGAGGGTGCTACGTCGGAGTAACCCGACAAACAAAACACGTTTATTTTAGCAGCACGAGCGCAAAGTGTGCTGTAGCTGTTGAGTACGGGATGATAAAAAACTGTATCATAAAGTGGGACTCAAGCGCACTTTCCGAACAGAAGCGAACTTCGGAAAGAAAATGATTTTTGTGGTGGTTACGGCAAATTAAAGAGAAAACAGAATGAGCCCACACGTAAAAATTTCCGCAATAGGTTCATCAAAGTTGCTTCGACTGAGCGAAACCAATTGCCAACAAATGTGCGCACCTTAAAGTTTGCTTATATCAACAGCACTGATTCTTTACCGTTTACAGTTTTAGCGCTAGTAATACTGGAAACGTTCCAAAAAATGCCACGGCGGCATACCAGGATAAATCTGCTCATCCAAAAGAGTGCCTAATGATGGGACGCATCCTGACTCCGAACTAAAATGCAGCTGAGCGCAGTAAAATAAAAATATCTGTCAGAATAAAAGCAACATTTACAAACTATTACTTAAAACTGTGGCCTGTTTCTTTTTTAAGCTTCCTTTGAAGAAGTACTCACTACTAAATATAACTAGTGGTTTTTTCAAAAATTGAAAACTTGCTTAGGAATTTGGGAGAACAACGTTGCGATTAAAAATTGCTAATATTCTCTATGCTCAGTTAAGATACCCTTTCAGTCCATGTTCGGTAAAAAAGTGTGATCATTGTCCTGAAACCTGACGTTACAACGAAGCGCTACTGGTATACGTTATTACATACCTGAAGTTTTGAATAATACTCTTGGCGGCTTGTTTTGTTTACGGTAACTTTGGGAGGGAAGTTATTTCCAAGCAGATTTGAAATGGCAAGGTTTATCGATGTCGAGAGGGACGAGGAGCTCAGAGAAATACAGAGGCAGTATTCAAGCTTTATAGACGATAGGGTAAGTTGCAGTTATTGAGCTGTTTTTCAAACGGTACAAACTTTTCTGTAACTGCAGTTGGTCAAATGGCTGTTTAATAAACTACGTTAGACGTTTCTTGTATATAAAATCCGAAACATTATGCTGGTTAATATGAATACGATGCAGTGCAAGAGTTCTGCTTTGTTTGCTTTTGAGTAACAACATTTTGAATTAAGTGAAGTTATATTTTAAAATCTTCAGACGTATTCCTCTTTCTGAAGGCAAATACTTTGTTTTAAGGACGACCGTTTCATCGTCTTTTTTGCAATGAACGCCTGTTAAAGTTTTATGCTTTTGAAAATTCGGATATTTTCGATATAAAGACCTAAATCCAAAAAATACACAGGGGACCGCGAATTTACAGATCTGAAGCACCTGCTCCGCTACCGTAAATGAATAACGACATCGGGGAATGAATAAAGGAAACCTTTGTTTAAAATATGGAGGATTGGCTGTCATATTCTTACTCCTCAGGCATCAGTATTTATTTACTCATTAATTCCAGCATTAGAAATGTGAAATTTTGAAAATAAAATCTCTGGTGTAAGTCACACTCCTGGGGTTCTTTGCTTTGCTGTGTCTTTTACTTTAGACCTTTATTTTTACTTTTCTGTTATTAAGCGAAAGTGTGAGGATGGACAAATAGCGTGGCGGCATGACAAGTTAAATGTTACAATCCCGGATCGCTTTAAATTTCTCACATAATCTCCACCATGCAGTTAACTCCTTTGTACTTCAGTGCAACGGATAGCAAGTCGATTGCCTTAATGGTTAGAACAGTGTGCCGCCTTGGCATTATCATGTATGACTATGTAACTTGCCGACTTTTTTGTTCATTACGTATGATTGATGCCTGAATTTCTCATTGACCCGAATGAAACTGACTCCGTCTTTCAGCTTCAGCAGAATTCAGTCAGTAAAATTCGTAAGGAAAGCTTATGAAAATGCGAAGTTGTCTTCGTTCCACTAGTTTTGACGGTGTTCATCTCACACCTTTCAATTCATTTTAGACTGGAAAGGGAACATATTATCGGAAGATACAGGATATGATTGCCGATAATCGTCGACGTTTGCTTGTGAATATTAATGATCTGCGGTTGAATTTTCCTGAGCGAGCTCAACGGTTCGATTTTTCTAGTATCTTAGCACGTTTTTTTTTAAGACTTTTAAGGAATGGTTTCGAAGAACTTATTTGCCTGGAAAATGCGTTTAGGGATGTTGCTGCTTCGGTCGATCCGGAATACGTTAAGGAACAGGACCAGTTACTGGTTGGAATTGAAGGAAGGTTGTTGTCGTTACCTGTTTTTTG